TGAAGTTCCAGTAACAAGTAGTGCAGGAGATAGAGCCCGGACAAGATAGCGAAAGGACGGACGGAAGGACGGACGGACACGACGCAAAACAATAGTCTCCCACAGGGATACCATCATAAACTATACCCACCGGGATAACATGAAATATTATAATCGGAGCAACCAAAGGCTTACAATAGTCCACATGGCTATTTTAGAAAGAAGTTTGATAAGAGAGCCCTAGAACCAACGGAGAGCGTAAAATACCAAACCTGTTCATTAGCATGTGAGGATACGTTGTTGAAACATTGAAACATATCAATAAACTAAGTTAGGATTCCCCCGAAAAGAGAGTGTTTCCGTTGCGGAGGTTACGATCACTGGGCTGAGGACTGTCCCAGGTCTGTAAGGTCTGTGAGCATGGCTGCAGATCCTAAACGTCATTCAAGTATCAACATACCTATATTCTAAAACTCAAGATCAAACATGAATAATTGTAGATTTAGATGTATTTGTCTAATAATTTTACGTCAACTTTAACATAACCTTATTAATTGAATAACAAACTACATGTGTACCCGTTCGAAATATTCAACCAAAGGAATTATAAATTTGTTCTGCTTTCCTAGATTCTAATGAATTCGTTTGGTTTTGTTTTATTGAAGATTCTGTACGAAATATGGCCGGTATTGTCATCGCAGCCCCGAATGTTCCGAACTGGTGTGCTTTACATGTGGGAAGTTAGGCCATTTTAGTGATAAATGTCCAAACACACAATGTTTCCTATGCGGAGGGTACGGTCACCGGGCTGATGACTGTTCAAGGTTTGTAAGCAAGGTTTAGGATTGAAAATGTCTTGAAATGTCAATGTAATCTATAATGCAATTGTTGTTGGTCAAACGTTATTAACTGACGATTAACACGTAAATGTGTATATATACTGAACAAAAAAAGAAACGCACAAAGTTACCCCCGGCGGGGCTTCTGTAATGGTTTGGGGAGGCATCTCCCATGGAGTAAAATCCCCCTTAGTGGTCCTGGATCAAAACCTCAATGCCGTTCGATACAGAGACCAGATCCTCCAACCACATGTCCTTCCACTTCTCAGACGTTATAACCTAATTTTTCTAGCAAGACAATGCTCGACCGCATGTTCCCAGAGTCTGTCGTGATTTTCTCACGGTAAACAACGTTCAGCCTCTGGAATGACCCCCATATATCCCCGACATGTCTCTCATTGAGCATCTGTGGGATGAGCTGGACAGGCGTATTAGAAAAACGTCAACCCCCCCCCCCCCCCCCCCCCCCCCAACTAACCGCGCCCAGTTGATCGCAGCATTAACACAAGAATGGAACAACATTCCCTTAAGGCGAATAAATGTTCTCATGAATTCAATGCATAGGAGAATCCGTGCAGGGTTTCGTGCAAAAGGTGCCCACACCAGGTACTGAAGTGTCATTTTGTTTTTCGCGGGTATCCCACTTTGAGTAATTACTGATGACACGAGTGACGTCACACAGACTTTTCTTCTACAGTATTGTAAAGAGTAGACTTGTCCCATCATATTGATATAAAATTTTGTACAAATTTCGAAAAATATCATAATCTATTGATTGCATAATTCAATTGTGCGTTTCTTCTTTTGTTCAGTTTATGTAATCTTCTTTATATAAAAAAAAAATGACAATATGAAAAAAGTCCTACATGAGGGGGAAAAAGAGACCTACGTGAGGTGAACTCGGGACCATTACACTGCACGGGTGCGAAACGCTAACGACGTCGCTACACCGAATTGCCCGTTTGGTGTAAATGTCTAAGATGACCCTTCTGTGTAGACGAAGGGAAATTGCTAAAATCTCGCGTATGGATATCTTTTAATTTTGTACTTAAAGCTTTACATAAAGTAAGGTAATTATAAAACACGAGTCAAACTATTGTTCAAAAGGAGTCTACGAAGTCTGATGAATTTAGCGTCCTTTGTCTCACGTTTTATTACGTCTGCATCGTTCATTTTGATTAATAGGATATATTTCTAATTTGTCATCAGCAAGTATTCATGCCATATGAACACATTTCACAGGAAATAGTAGTGTCATCGATCTGCGTCGATATCAATATAAATATGTAATTGAAAACCTGCCCATGTCTAAGTTAGAACAGCTCAACGATGAGAAAAAAGCAGTACAATATGTTCGAAAAACTTGATAAGTAAAAACACGCCAGAAAGTACAATACAGTTTGTTATCTTATGTATATTGAACATTATTAACGAAAGTCGATCTAAACCCCTAAAACATGTAAAATTACTCTGAACACCTTAATTAAGGTCCAAATATATCACTGAAATATCCATACCAAATTATTTGATGATTCCTCTATAACACATTCGGATCAGCTTCTTTTTTACATTAAATTGTCTTCTAATTCTTTGTTGACAGGTAGAGGTGCCTTACACAGAGAAGACAGTGTCCTTCAGTAACTACCCGCTGTCTGCGGCACTCACATGTGCCAAACTGTGTAACGCCTGCGAGGACAAATGGGAGATCAAATAAAATCTTACATCTCAGTGTGGTTTTCTTCTCTCTTTTTATCATGTAACCGTAATACTTAGCGTTGATTTTGTATTGTGTAGAAATATTTAAAACAAAGCCAGTTCACACAGTGTTCAATTGATTTGTGGTATTGAGGTTACTGGACACTAATATTTTTATGGGGTCGCGGCGGCCAAGTGGTTAAGGCGTCTGACATTCTGCTACCACTAGCCCTCCACCACTGGGTCGCAGGTTCGAGGCCTACGTGGGGCAGTTGACAGGAACTGGCCATAGGTCGGTGGGTTTTCTCCCCAAAACTCCTGCTTTCCTCCGCCACCAAAACCTGGCACGTCCTTAAATTACCATAGCTTTTAATAGAACGTAAAACATATTAAACAAACCAAAACCAAAACCAAACAAATAAACCAAAACCAAACTGTATGTATTTTAACTCAATTAGAAATATTTGCTGGTGTTTTGAATTCCCTTTTTTAGGTCACCTGAGCTTTGCTCAAGTGACCTATTCCAATCACTTTCTGTCCGTCGTCATCCGTCGTGCGTCGTGCGTAAACTTTTTACATTATCAACTTCTTCTCAAGAACCAGTGGATGGAATTTTTTCAAACTTGGTCAGAATCATCCTTGGTAGATGAGGCTACCATATTGTAATTGGGATTCCTACCCCAACCCTATGGGCCAGGGCGGGGCCCAAAAGGGAAAATTAACCAATATTTCAAAAATCTTCTTCTCCAGACTCAGAGGTATTACAGTCATTTTCTCTGCATGGATGGAAAGATCATCAGGGGCTTTATTTAAATTGTAAATTTCAGGACCCCCGAGCTATCCGTTCTCCCTTGGGGAGGGGGTAAAGTTTACTATAGTTTATATAGGGAAACAACACTTTTGGGTATATTTTGACAATTTTCTGTTGGAAATTATTCTTACTTGGTCAGAATTATTCCTGAAGGGAGATGGTTTTAAATTGTAAAATTGGGATTCCTACCCCAACCCTAGGGGCCAGGGCGGGGCCCCAAAGGGAAATTTAACCAATTTTTCAAAAATCTTCTTCCCCAGACTCAGAGTCCTATACTACAGTCATTTTCTCTGCATGGATGGAAAGATCATCAGGGGCTTTATTTAAATTGTAAATTTCAGGACCCCCGAGCGATCCGTTCTCCCTTGGGGACGGGGTAAAGTTTACTATAGTTTATATAGGGAAACAACACTTTTTGGTATATTTTGACAATTTTCTGTTGGAAATTATTTTAACTTGGTCAGAATCATCTTTGGTGGATGACGGTATCACATTGTAAGCTTGGAATTCCTGCCCCATCCCCAGGGGTTAGAGCGGGGCCCCAAAGGGAACATTTACAAATATTTTAAAATTCTTATCCTTTGATGACATGTCAAGTATTGTATTTCACTTAGTTTACATGCTGATTTCCACATCACATCTAACCAATAAAATAAAGCTACCAGTACCTATGATGTAACTCAGGTGACCGCTAAGGCCCTCGGGCCTCTTTTTTATTATTCAATGTGACAAGTGTAAATTTTACTGTCCCAAAATATTTTCCTGCTAACAATATCCTAAAGCTTTTTAATTGTTAAAAATAATACTTCAATAAAATAAAATAAAAGATAAATTATTATACAATAAGACCTTGTCATACTGATACGATTTATACTGTATCAGCTTTGTCTAAATACAATGACAATAGTCTTTGTAGTATCATGTTCGGGGGTAAAATGTGTTTGGAAATCCCCCTTACCTTCAAACTCTTTCAGTTGGACAACAGTATTTGAAAAAAAGTGCAAAGTTTTCCATATATTTCGACCAAAATGAAAGCAAAACTTTTTTACTGCTAATATATAATTGTTTTACTGCTCATATAATTATTTTCTAAAAAACATATAAAATATAAAAACACTGATGATTATGTTATTTAATTCTAAATACACTGTATGATATACACATCAAAATTAGATAAAGACTGGATAGTAACACTATGCTATACACATCAAAATTAGATAAAGACTGGATAGTAACACTATGATATACACATCAAAATTAGATAAAAACTGGATAGTAACACTATGATATACACATCAAAATTAGATAAAGACTGGATAGTAACACTGATATACACATCAAAATTAAATAAAGACTGGATAGTAGCCCTGTATGATATACACATCAAAATTAGATAAAGACTGGATAGTAACACTGTATGATATACACATCAAAATAAGTTAAATACATGCACAACCAGAGACACTGAGACTGATTGGGGAAACAAAATGGCCGACCTGCTGCCATCTTTGATTTTGACAGTTTTGTTACCTCAACTTCACAGAAAGTACTGGAGGAATCTTTCTTAAATCTTGTATTTATTTTCCCCAATGTTGACAGCACCTCTAATTACGTAAAATTACAACCGTTTAGCATTTGCATATGATTATGCTATTCATATATACATTTCTGTCCAAAACATTTGCCATAGCTGCAAATAACATGACATTACAAGGTTTAAGTTAATGTACAGAATTCCCTTTCAGGATTTCTAACATGGGACTGGGTAATAGTACATGTAAAGAATTTGAAGAGCTAAGAAGGTAAAAGGTCATCTTTTGTAGATCTAATAAAGATCCTTTCATGATGGGTGCCACGATCCTTCTAGGATCTCTGTTCATATATATAGCTATAGGTTCCCATTGGTCCTCTTGAAACCAGACAGCCATCTTGGATTTTAAGAGTTTAAATTTGCTATTGCTATTTCTTTAAAAGTACGTGATAGGTCTTTATCAAATTTAACATAGATTTTTATTGGTCTTAAATTGTGCATGTTTCATTTTGAGGCTGATAGGACAAAGCAAGATGACCGTCAGGCAGTCCTCTTAAATTTTTAGTAAAAGTTTGTTAGCGCTATTTCCCAAGAAGTACTTAACAGTTTTTCAAATGTAGGTTCCTCTTGTTATACCTTAAGTACCCTGCTTATAAATATGGTCTATCATTTGACAGCCTCGCTTCGAAAAATGTTTTACACAGCAGTATGAAGTTTTGACCAAAAGTTACCACAAGGTGGGTTTACTGTTTTAAATGACTTAATACAACAGATCTGAGAATAGAAGAAAAAAATCTATCTTGCATAGAACCACCGGAGAACTTATGATGGCCGCCAATGTCCCTCTGGGATCTTTTGTAACAACAAGTAAATGTAAATCCAAGAGTTGTGTGACCTAGACGATTCCAATGTCAATGAACTTTGTATAATGTGTTACAGTGTATTTCATAGCAATGTTGTTATCAATGAAATTGACGTGTTATAAACAATGTAAATAGAAAGCAACATAATGTTAATTACATATTAAGCTCAGGTGCCTACAATACTCCTTTCATATTAAGCTTTTTCAAACATGTGCTGTATAGTTGAAAAATATGCAAAATCTTAACAAAATTCACTATTTATTTGAATTTCGCTAATTAATTCAAAGTTTAACTTGTTACCATGGATCTAAAGTCATGCTGACATTCAAGCAAAATGTTGCATCAATCTAGGTGGCTCCTAAATGGAGTTTAAAGGACAGTTCACAGCCCAGTGACCGAGACCCCTGCACTTGAAACATACTGCCATGGGACATTCAGGGTTGGAATGACCACTCTGGTTACATTGAGTGCAGAATCTATAACAAAGCAAATAAGTTAGAAGTTAGTTTTTACCAGAGCTGAAGTCAATTCACTATTCAATCCGTCATTATAATTTATTTTATCTTTTTAACGTGCGTGTGTGTAGTCAGTTTTCCAATTAACTAAATCATATTAAAGTTGATATATAATTGTATGTTCACACAAATTTAACCAATAAGTTAATAACGTTTGACCAGGAAAAAATGTGAAAATTGATTTTCTTTTTACAGTAATGATGTCTGACCTTTTACACCTGATAAAATATGTTCCAAGTAAGCATTTTTGGCAAATAATTCATTGACTGAAGAGCTCTCGATATAATTTTTCAGGGTTCAAATCTTTCCATCAAAGACATTTGAACAAGGAAGTTCTGTGTAAATGTAAAGTTTGACTGACAAGTGTCGTCCATACACCTTTGCACATCTTCGAACGTATCCCATGCATGGGTCTCAATTAGGGTTATATATACTAAGAGGATGTGGACTTGAATCTAAAGAGGCCACATTGGATCATTTGCTGTTAATGACTTCTCCTTCCAAAATACTGGACAGGATTCAACCAAATTGATTGTAATATTCTTTCCCTTAATTAGTTTTTAAATTTGCATTCGTCTATATGTACATATACATCTTATTTCTTACTTGTAATGTCCAACTCTATCCCAGTCACAGCCAGTAACATCCACATTACGTGCAATAAACAAATACACCCAGGTGTCCGTCATTTGTCCTGCCAGTCCATTTTTCAGTGTCGTGCATATCCATATGTTATTTATCATGTTAATGGTCAGATATTGGTTGTTATGGATATAAAGTTGATCACGACAATGTTTTTTACACCAATCGTTTTCTTTGTCATCAGCTCTTAGAAGTATGAGTCTAACATAAGTTTTATTTTCTCCAGGTATAATCTTTTCTAAATATAAATTCAGATTGTAGCTGCCCAAGTCCGTAAGTAGACTCGCTACTGGCTTCAGCACACGTTCTGTACCAAAAGGAGATACAGTTGGCAGACAACTGTTCCACAGTGTTACTCCAAACCAAACGCCGTGCGGAGCATCGTCTCGTGCCAGTGGTGCTTCCCATATGTCAGGTGTGTGCTGCTTTATTAAAACTTTTGTATCCTGTATAGGTTTCTTTAGATGTGATTTCGTGCAATGCGTCAGAAACTGGAAGTTTTCCATTGCAATGTTTGGATTTGGAGCAATTAGGCTGTTGCTTAGACCCCCAACAAGGCCATTGCTAAGTAGATTTGTTCAGTATTCAGTGTATGTTGATTACCTTCAGGAAAAGAAAATTTAAGACCATCAATAAGTTGTATCCATATTATGAGAATTTGTGTATTTTACTAGATGACTTTGTCATTGACACTCTGACAGAAAGACATGAAATGTAACAAGAGGCCCATACAGCCTGTATCGGTTTATTAGTTCATTTTCAAGGAAGAGGGTCGCTACTGATCCTGCCATTAATTGTTGTGACTGAGCCTTCAGGACGTCTGGGGTCTCCGCCTCTGTGCCCCCATATACCCTTCCTTACAGAGTTTAAATGATAATAATAATAATAATAAGTAGATCAGTTATGTTCTGTCCCTTTGGGCCGAGTGGTGTACTCACTGTCGACACTAAGAGTCTAACAAACCTATATGTTAATATAAGATAAAACCAAAACAACTACAAGCATTTTACGAAGATATAAGTTAGCAATCTAATAACCTTATTTCCAAGCATAACACTCACAATAAGCAGAGCACCTTTACATATGCATCTATTAATAGCGGTCCGATTGCATCACGTTTAGAAATAGTCAAATCGGCTACAACCGGATAAGTTTTTCTAGAGGTTCATGAAATAACAACGAGAAGACGATTTATATATGTACAACATTTTATTTTCCCCGTCGCGGTGGGTCGGAGAGCTATCCCACATCCACTCTTACAAAGATTGCCTACTCTATCATGGACAATATATCTATTTACAACTAAATGAGAGCCATCTACCACCTGTAATACAGTACTAGAGCGATCTGTGTATATGTACGCTCTTTCCCATAATACGGGGTCCTGGGGTAGTTCACTCTCCTACAAATAAGTAACATCAGACGCGCGTATCCAAGAATTGAAACTCGTAGGCCAGTGAAGCCATTTGACGTAGTGTTGTTTGTCTCGGCCTTCAAAATGGCTTCCACCTTCCACATGTTGTCGTGCTGAACATCCACTTTCTGTAGGTGATAAAAGGTTCGTTTGATTTCGTCTCCATGTAGTCTTTGACTCTATATAGAGGCAATCCTCCGCGTAGTATCTTTTAAGAATTGGTAAATGTCTCCCCCGTCTATTTTTCTTCGTATTCTCGTGAGAAAGGGTTCCTCAAATCAGATAATCTTACTTTGTCTCCAACCTTGAACCTGGACGGCTTATGAACCTTTTTCGTTTTTCGTAAGACTGGCTGTTTTTTCGGCCAATACATTCTCCACCAGATAGACGTGTCCTTGTCTTCAGTTACATTTGCTGGGGCCATATCGATTGTCCGGTGATACGTCTGATTGTAGCTGTTGACAAATGTTTGTAGTTTCTTTACGTATTCATAGTTTCTTCTGTGCGTGAAATATCTATACAGTCTAGATTTAATAGTCTTGATGACACGCTCGGCTACAGCAGCTTTGGTTACGTTTTGGGCATATAAATGGTTTATTCCATATTTGTCCAGAAGCGCATTGACTTCCTTCGATCTAATATCTTGGCCCTTATCGGTCCGCATCCGTCTGGGTTGTCTCCCCTCATGTCCTGAAATGCCTTTGCTACAGTAACCCCTTGTAACCCCTTGTCTTTGAGCGGTCTCAGCCACAAGTATTTAGAGAACACATCTATTACCACAAGTACGTAGGAAAAGTCGTCGTTTTCACTTTTGAACTTGACCATGTCCATGAGATCCGCAGACCATTGGTCGTCAATTCAAATCACGATGATCCTGTTTCGTTTAAACGGTCGTCGGAGTGATCTCTGAAGGCTGTATGGCTCTTGTCGCTGTAACCATTTTTAGCTTTAGATTATGCCGTGGCGCGGCGCCGTCGTCCGTCCGTCGTCCGGCATCAATATTTTACTTTAAACGACTTCTTCTTAATAACCGAAAGGCCTAGGGTGTTGATATTTGGCCAGAAGCAAACTGGGATGAAGGGCTACAAAGTTTGTTAAAATTAATAACCTTCACCTATTTTCAAGGTCACAGGGGTCAAATATGTGTAAAACTTTAGACATCTTCTTCACAATAACCAAACTGCCCAGGGAGATGATATTTGGTCAGTAGCATGTTTGGGTGAAGGGCTACAAAGCTTGTTCAAGTGAATGACCTTCAATAATATTCAAGGTCACAGGGGTCAATTGTCTTAAAAAACCTTTAAACAACTTCTTCTGAATAACCAAAATGCCCAGGGTGATTATTTTTTGCCAGTAGCATGCTGAGATGAAGGGCTACAAAGTTCGTTCAAATGCATGACCTTTACCCATATTCAAGTTCACAGGGGTCAAATATCTTAAAAACTTTAAACAACTTCTTCTCAATAACCAAAATGCCCAGGGTGACGATATTTGTCCAGTAGCATGCTGAGATGAAGGGCTACAAAGTTTGTTCAAATGAATGACCTTCATCCATAATCAAAGTCACAGGGGTCAAACATATTAAAAACTTTAAACAACTTCTTCTCGTTAACCAAAATGCCCAGGATGATGATATTTGGCCAGTTGCATGCTGAGATGAAGGGCTACAAAGTTCATTCAAATGAATGACCTTCACCCATATTCAAGGTCACAGGGGTCAAATATTTTAAAAACATTAAACAACTTCTTCTCAATCACCAAAATGCCCAGGGAGATGATATTTTGCCAGTAGCATGCTAACATGAAGGTCTACAAAGGTTGTTGAAATGCATGACCTTCACCCATATTCAAGGTCACATGGATCAAATTTGTTAAAAACATTAAACAACTTCTGAAAAACCAAAATGCCCAGGGAGATGATATTTTGCCAGTAGCATGCTAAGATGAAGGTCTACAAAGTTTGTTCAAATGCATGACCTTCACCCATATTCAAGGTCACAGGGGTCAAATTTGTACAACTTCTTCTGAATAACCAAAATGCCCAGGGTGACGATATTTGGCCAGTAGCATGCTGAGATGAAGGGCTACAAAGTTTGTTCAAATGCATGACCTTCAATTATATTCAAGGTCACAGGGGTCAATTGTCTTAAAAAACCTTTAAACAACTTCTTCTGAATAACCAAAATGCCCAGGGTGATTATTTTTTGCCAGTAGCATGCTGAGATGAAGGGCTACAAAGTTCGTTCAAATGCATGACCTTCACCCATATTCAAGGTCACAGGGGTCAAATATGTGTAAAACTTTAAACAACTTCTTCTGAAAAACCAAACTGCCCAGGGAGATGATATTTGGTCAGTAGCATGTTTGGGTGAAGGGCTACAAAGTTTGTTCAAATGAATGACCTTCAATTATATTCAAGGTCACAGGGGTCAATTGTCTTAAAAAACCTTTAAACAACTTCTTCTGAATAACCAAAATGCCCAGGGTGATTATTTTTTGCCAGTAGCATGCTGAGATGAAGGGCTACAAAGTTCGTTCAAATGCATGACCTTCACCCATATTCAAG